GCTTAATGTCTCTTTGTGAAGAATAATCCCCAAAATTAACTATTTAAAATTGTTACAATGGTAAAGAAATTTTGAAGAAGATTTAGTTTCAAATGGTATTTTGAAATGTCTTCTAAGTAATATTTTAAGAATTTTACTAGGAGTGCACAATTTAATTTAGTTTTGAATCCATCTGTGTGGTAACAACTGTTTTTGAAATCCAGAAAATTCTGGTACAGATTTCACAATTTTTCATGTTTGAACATAGGGATGAATTTAGATCTAAAATTGTGATACTTGTGTCTTGAACCCAAAACTAACTCCTGATGATAGATAGATTAGTTTGCATTGTTCAAAAAGATGAGGTTTTGAATAGTAAATGTTAGTGATTAATTTATTGCATATAGATCTACAGGTACATGTAAGTATAGTTATTGAAAAAAGTGTCAACTTCACTTTTTTTTCTTTGATCAAAAGACAGCATGTTTGCATCAGCATCACTGGATGGAGCCATCATTCTGTGGAGCTCTCTTAGTCTTTCTTATACACGACAGTTTAACTATGTGAAGGACTATGAAGGACCATTTCACACCTACCCCGCAAGTACTCAGCATATCTTCACTGTTGATCAGGTAGAACACTGATAAGTCTTGGTAACGAGAACAGGAAGCATTGAAAATCAATTTAGTATATTCTCTTGGTCTAATTAATAAACTGTTTTGGGTGTGTGTGTGTGTGTTTTTTTTTTTCCAAATCTTCATTTACAATTACATCAGTGAAAAGTGCGTCATACACTTAATTATTATACAGTCTAATTTTGGAAAGAGATATCAAACAGCTCAACCAGTCTTGCCATGCAGCAGATAATACAATTTGTTTATTTGTAGTGAAAGGAAAAGGAAAGGGGCGGCCTGAATCTAGATCATGATTCATCCTCATATAGTTTCTAGATGTTCTAGATTTTTTTTTTTTTATAAAGCTGAGTTGGTATTAGTATCCATTGTCCATGTACCTAACATGTCTTGTTTATTTATTTATATATTTAATAATTATTCATTTTATGCTGTTTGTAGAAATACATATTGGCTTCCATTGGGCATGGATTTTTCTTGTATGACACTATGTCAGGTATGATGCTATATTTCAAGTTAGGTTGTGTGCAATTGATAATTATGAAAAAATTTATGATTTCCATCTCAACTGATGACACCAATATAGACTTTTTTTTAGATGACTTGGTTGGCTTTTAATGAACTTACATCTCTGTACTAATGTAGGGAACTGCCTTGCCAAAGTCACAAATGCACATCATGGGAAAATAATTCACTCTGTGCTGTTGTGTAAAGGGTAAGGTCTTTGAAAGTGGTAAATGGTAATGTGGATCATGTGGTCAATGTGTACTTCTGAGGTATGTTTTGCAACCCCAGCTAGTTAAAAAGTGCTTAAATTTGTATAGTCATGGTATATGCAAAAAATAGACTAAAAGACTCTGCATTTCATACAAAAACTCTATCAGGAATCATTTAGAACTTCAAACGAAATCAAGCAAATGGCCTAAACTAAAAAAATTTTGCAATTGACCGTCATAATACCAAACCCAAATTAACTACAACAGTCAATCAGAAGAAAGGGAAATACCTTTAGGAGCCAGTAAGAAATTAAAGGAAAAACAACCAAACTGCAAATCAGGCTCAGAGAAAACAAGTGCAACCAAGTTCTGGGTGGTTTTTGTTTTTGTCCAATTGTTTGAGTGAGTGGTGCAAGTTTTCTGGACCAATTATGGAGTGAAGTAAAGCAAAACCAATGCAATTTAGGATTAGTTTGAACATTCAGATGAAAATTGTGCTCTGAGGAAGGAATTTGATCAAGACAAGTCTGGTTGTAGTTTTATGTCAAATTTGTAAAGAGGGTGGCAAAGCATAGAGAAGTAAAACGTAGTATAAGCCATCTCAGATTGATTTCAACACTCACTTGAAAATTTCTCTTATAATTAATTAATCTTTTTGTTCATAGTTATCTTTTGGCAACCTGTTCTGAGGATGGCTCTGTAAGAATTTGGGGATCACCAAATCCTCTTTTTGTCTGTAAGTCTTTATTTATCTTTTTCTTTTTACACAGATTGCTTTGGGAGGGCCTCTGCCTTATATAGCATCTTTGCAATTTTTGAATCCCCCTCCTTGACTGTCTCTGAATTGTACCTCATTTCTTCCAGTTCCTGTTAGTTTTGGTCCACTTTGACCAGCTGAGGCTCTCTGAATAAATTTCTTTTCTAAGATATATGAAATTACATCAGAAATCTTCAGAGAGAGAGAGAGGCTGGCTTCCCACTGCTGTGAGTTGGGTTTGATTCCTGTTCCAGGGGTCACACATGGTCTGAGTTTGGTGATGTTTCTCATCCTTGCTCTAAGAGTTTCTCTCCAGCAGGGTTCTCCGGATTTTCTCCCCTGTGACCCATATAGCTGAAGCTTATTTTGATTTCCATGGCATAAAGGGACCAGGACCTTTACTTTTCCCCCATTCAATATATTCCCCCTTTCAATCTCAAGGTTATCCCTTAGTATTTCATCAGGCTTCCCTTACAATTTGCTGATACCCATTTATATTCCTGGGAGGAGAGACGTACCCAGACCTCTCGCCCTTGAGTCCAGGTGGCTAACCATTACGCCTACGCGTTCCCCACACGCAAAATATCTTCTAATTCTAATTTGAGTGGTGTAATATTCACTATGCAATTATATGAAAAAATATTTCACTATAAAAATTGAAAATTGTTTTTAAATTTCGGCTCGGTTTGGAATAACCGCAAGGAAAATCCCAACTCGTTTGTAGATATTTCTTCAATATCTTTTTTGTTAATGTAGTCTATTGTCTTTTTGATAGGTGATGGTTCTACGTCGCCATCCTTCACTTTGCAAGTGGAGAGATTTCTTGGTAAAAGGTAAACCAATACATACACGTGTAAGTTAAATGTGTTTCTCTTATTTGTTCATCCTAACGTCATATTTGAGTATTTTTTTCATCCCTTTTCCAGCATTTCAGAAGTGCAAAATATCAAGTCACCAATCACTCCAGCGCTTCTTGGAGAGTGTCTGGCTCATACGGGCGCTATACATGTAAGTTGAATAAAGAACGACTTTGACTTATTAGTCGACAGAAAGATTTTCACTTTGTTGAATAAATTGAACATACAAATTCTAAAGGCAGTTGGTTGGTTGCGTCTGATTGGTTGAGAGGATGGTGCGAGAGATCTGGACCGAGAGCACAGCAAAGTGCGGCAAAACCAAAGTAATCTGGGATTACTTTCGACCCTTAACCCTTCAACTCCTAGAAGTGATTAGCATGTAACTTCTCCCTAAAATATCCACACACTATCTAGCAAACAGGTAATGAGAATACTTAAACTTAACACATAAAAGTTGTTTTTATTGATTGAACACCAAATTCTCTCAACTAATTTAGAAGGAAATATGTAGCAGCAATAGGGGAGAATTAACAATCAGATCTTGGGAATGAAAGGGTTAATTGAGAATTACTCTAAGATCAACGTAACATACTCTGATGTTGTTAGAAGTTACTTGATTTTAATGTTATGGGTTTGGAGAGGTTTAACTTTTTATCTAAATGCTGATTAATCTGCGACCGAAATTCCGGTCCTCACCGATGTCCACGCCTTGAAACTTTGAATCAGTGCAGAATAAGATTTGGAATCAAATGCCTTTCTTTTTTAATGACTGTTATTCTCCAAATAGATGGCTGTTAATCTTGGTGAGGAAGGCTTTGCTTCCTGTGGAAGTGATGGCCTTGTTGTCTTGTGGAAGGTAAGTGGTATTTTCCTCGATAACGAAGTTTCTAAGCTCCACTCCCTCGCCAAGTATGGTCTGTAAGTAGCCGCCTTAATTCAGTTCCATTTGGGGCGAAAAAACGTAGTCTAAGGTCTCACTAGTAATGCATTGCGCACCCTCACTGCGTATACACATACATAAACATGATTACCTTTTTTCCTTTGTGGCCGTAGCTAGTTAGTGAGATAAATCGTCATTTTCTAAAAACAAAAAAAGATACTGAGGAGAGCCAACAGACTTTTTTCTTCTACTTGAGCTTCAATTGCTTCGCTTTAATTTGAAATTAAAGGACGACTGATACCCTTTGTAGAATTCGAAATGATCGTCAAATTCACAAGTATGCAACTGTATATAGTGTTCGATATTGCAGTCAAAATCTAAGTTCCATTGAGGTGAACAACCATTAGGTAAAGTTCGACAAAAACTTTGGGGGGGGGGGGGTTCTGCAATTTTTTAAGAATTCAGTCACGATAACCGCGTTCTCAGCATGTGGAAGACCTATTTCAGTCAACGCTAGATCTCTTTTGCTTTCAGGACGGTGAACTGGAGAAGAAGAGAAGGAATGAAATGGTTCGAAGTATCTTGCTATCGATGGATGATACGAGATGATGTAGGGATATTGTTAGTCGCTGATCAGGACTGTTAATTAACTCAATACGCCCACAACCCTGGGGACTTTCTCTCCATCTGATAGTTGTATCAACATCAGGCTTATAGAACACGAACAGCAATCGTAGAGAGAATGCACTGCTCTTGGCCCCCTTTAACCTCGACCAGTCAATAGAAAAACCCCTGTGTAAACATTCCAAATCAAGCGCTAGACGGACATTCTTCCAAGATTTAAAAAAGAATGTATAGAGAAGTAAATACTCTCCTCTCAAAAATGGTTGTGACGAAGCTTTGATTAGAGCGATGCTCTACTGTGTTCAGCTAACCTCTGTCCGAGTGAAAGCGGTATATCGGTGATTAGAATAGTTTTTTTTTATCAAACGGACATAAAAAAGGAATGAAAATACTAATTCCAGGAAGAGGCTTCAAAATTTACAGTGGAAACAATTATTCCGCGACACAAGGACTGAAAGAGTGCAACAGATGTGATGTTGCGTTCTTTTTCTCTAAAGTAGTGTAAATACAGAGGCATGGAAATAAGAGTGTAAAACATAAAAAAAATGACAAAACTATAACAATTTGGTTTGTAATTTGTGATTTGTTTCCTTTTTACAAACAAGCTAAGCTACTGCAATACCATCTTGTCGTGCAGTCGTGAATTTCGTGTATACCTAGTGTAATTCTACCATCGACGGCTGCAAATGTCTCGACAAGATATGTACATAACGCCTTACTGAATGAAGACATCATTTGTGGAATAACTCTCCCTTTCAAAAGCTTAAACTTCACAAAAAGTCGTTTGGAAAGAGCCCTTTTCGATATTCTTTTTCTTTACAATAAGGCAAGTCGATCATACTCGACGGATTTAACAGTTTCTCTGTCTCTCGCGGATCCTCAAATCTCCTTGAATAGCCACATTAAAACTGTCGATATGTCCATGCTAGTCTCATCCATTCGGTGTAACCTCTCATTGTCGAGTTTTTTAGTGGTTTGAGAAATAAATTTTCTCCATTTCTGTAGTCCATGTCAGGACGCGAATAAAAATTCGTAAAGAACTGAATCGCAAACCACAAACACGTGCTGCAAACGTTCAAAAATGTGTTTTGTACAAAAACTATCCAATATCCAAATTTCTTTCTACTTGTGGTCTGCCATCTGCAAAGAAAATGAATTCTCACTTTCATTTCTTGGTAAGAGATATATTACGTCTGTAGGCTAATTTATGCCAATCTGCCGATCCACATGTAATTTCTCCTCAAAAACAAAAGGTACAGTTTCCGATAGAAACAGCTACTAAACAGGTTTCCAAAGCTAAAAAAATAATGAAAAAGAATTCAATTGAAAGTTGTTTTCACTGAAAAAGATTAGATTTAAGAAAAGTGATATTTTTTTCCTTCTGTCCAAGCACAAACCATTGTGTTGGATTCATAAAGCACTTCATCTTTTCACCACTTGTGCGATGATTCATTTTGGGTACCTGTTGAACACAGCTTTAAAACACCATTGATTGCATTTGAAGACAAAAAGCATCTCATTAAAATGTCTTCGTCCTTATTTTTACAAGTTCGTAAGCCACGAAAACCAATTTTTGGACCAGGAGCGTTTAGACAGAAACTTCTCAGGGAACTTCTCTTCTCCCCTTACTCGGCAAGATTAGTAAAAACTGAAAGGCGAAAGATCTTTCGAGCCATCGAAAGCGAACTTGCACCTGTAGTTTTATGTCGAGAAAAAAAACAAAAGGAATCAAGAACTCCACTTACCCAGGATCTATGAGATATTGCTCGACTTGATGACTCCATTCACAATACTTAAATCCCTTATTTGGACAACTTGCACAGGTCTACTGTCCTCACAAATGACATCTCCCATGTTATATGCTGGAACAGCGGGAGCGGCTGGATAATATGGCACATACTGTTTTTTGTCCTTTTGACTTCCTTTTGCTTCACTCTTCCCTGAACTTTCATGATCATTCTCCTTATTTTCTGTTTTATCGTCAGTCTTTTTGTCACTTACATCTCGTCTATTTCTACATGGCCTTGGAGCCGCACTAACTTGGTACAGAATAAGGAGTAGGCACACGATCACGGCATATGCCCTCATGATTTTGGCGCGCCGACGAACCTTCCAACTGTGGAGGAAAAGATAAGTTACTCCAGTATAAGCTTGACGACTTCTCTACACTCCCGTTTTGCACAACCGAGCAAAGAAACCGAGATATTCACATACTACTTCTCCTAGATCGATGTAGAGGAAAAGACAAAACTGGAATTCACGGTTTTGAAGAGTAAATAATTTATGTGCTCAAACACGTATTTTATTGATAAGTGTTAGCGATGAAGTCCTGGAGAAATCATAAATACGATTTCAACTTGCACGAAAGCTGAACGCTAAGCTAAAGGAAACAGTTTAATAGTTTATAGCTAACGGATGGAGTTCAATTAATTGAAATGATTATTATTTCCCATAAGGACCACAGTTTGGGATACTGTCGCGTTTCCCATTCACAAAAAAGGTTGACATCTTTAGTTTAGTAGGTTATTTAAGGTGGAAAACGGGTACCGAACAATGGGTAATATAGCAGGCGGAGTAGAAAGGCAAACTTGAAAAATATTTCAGAAAAAATCAAAAGATATGTTATGATGTAATTCATGGTTGCAATTCCACAAATCAAATATTCTGGACAGATTCACGCTTGTCATAATCTCGAACCGACTAATCAATCGTCCATAACATTGATTTTACTGCCAGTACGGTCGCTCGTCAATAATTTCCTCTCATGTTCAATGAACCTCAAATAACAAGAAACCGTGGTAAAACAGCATTGCTTGCTAGTTGTGTGACCGTTTTAATGGCATAAACAAAATTAAATCATTGTCTGTGGAGAGGTCTCCCGCAAACTTGCTGTAAACTGTTGGACCGAGTTAACTTGAAACAGACACGCTAATTTGCTCATCGAGGCTACAAAACTAGCTTCGAAAAAAGCAAAATTTAAAACAGAAAAGGAACAGTGAAAATTGTTCAATTTTTCCGAAGAAAAGAAGCTTTCCGACTCATGTTTGGAAAGTTGTTCCCCTGGAATCGTAGGTGTTGCCTTAAGAATTTTTTCGCTAAATTCAAAAAGGAAAATACTACAGTTCTTCATCGACCTAAAAATCAACTTAACTAGCCAAATCATTTTTACCTACATGCACAAACGCGTAATTTTAAAAAATTTTCGCAGTGAATTCGGGTACCGTGAGGTTTCACTTCATTAGGTGGAGATTAAAAATCAAACAAAGGCGTAGGACTTACCTGCGAGTCGGAGTCACTCAGAAAAGTCACTGAATATGATACCACGGTCGTGCCTTTCAGCATCGCTTGTGATTGGTTGAGCAGTGAGCAAATCATCGACCCGTAACTAACAGTTACGCCATGGTTAGTTAAATTTTAAGAATGACCTCAATAGACTATTGTCTCGCGCACAATCCATCACCTGTTGTAACACCTCGCTGAAATTATCAACAACAAGACTTGTTCTTCGGATCACAATAAATCAAATCAACATTTTAATTTTAAGCGTTTTGGATTCGTTAATGAGTATTTGCTTTATAGTTTTTAACTGCAACGTAGTTCTACTCGCTTTTGGGAGGAATCTGTAAGACAGGTCGTACATAACGCAACTCTCAGGTCATTGGTTCTCGTTTTCTAGTTCCAATTACAGCAAAGCGCGCTTTGCGTTACCGGTTATTTTAAAATACATAGTACTATCATTTGTTGAAGTTCTCTGTGTACATAAGTTATTGCTTGCGCGGTTCAAGTCTGCACAGTGTCGCAAACTAACTCGCTGACACCAATACCAAACAAATTTAGTTTTAAAAACGGTGCTATTATAGATGTTCTCATGCAAATGACAACTGCAATTAGACAGGTGTAAGAATGACAGATCGACACTATGGTTTTTTTTCCGTGTTTGTTTACTCATGACCAAACTGTCAGGCTGACTGAGAGTCCCAAGAAGTAATCGAGTTTCTTGAACCTCTCCAATAGTCTTGCAAAGCTGAGCATTGAGCTTTCATTTAGAACGATAATGTTTGTCTTGACACGCGTGCAGGATAAGGAAAAACTCCTTTGAGCTCAGTGGTGGTGCATCGGAACGCGGAAGAGCCGGCAAGGGGGTGGGGCTGATAAAATTTTCAAACGCGGGGTGAGGGGAGGGGAGGGGAGGGTTAGGATGAGACTGTCATGGTAACCTTTCCTTTTTATCGCTTCGAATCAGCAACAGCGATTGTAGAATAAAGGTATATTTCCGTCCTTAGATATTATTAAGTGTATCTAATTACACTTCGCTAGCAAGATCTTCGCTTAGCTCGTGTCCTCGGTACATCTGTCACCATTACTACAAATTGAGCTGTCAAGGAAGTGTCTTTTCAGATGTTCTAATACCAGTTGCAAATCTTGCTAAGTGACGAAAGAAAGGTGTGATGAGCAAAGAGGACGAGCTTATGATAAACATTGCTAGGGTATCCTTTCCCTTTCCTTTCTTCAAGTCGACTACGTACGGTGAAAGCGAAAAAATGACATGTTTATGTTCTTGAATAGTATAAATAAGTAGAGTCACATTTCACTCAGGGGTTTTTTTTAGTAAGCAAAACATAGAAAGATTTTCGATTAGATCAAGTTTCCTCAATACCTCCGTCACCTTTACTGCAAATTAAGCTGTAGCTGTCAAAAAATGTGTGGTTTCAGATGTTCTAATACCAGTCGAGAAAGACTTTGCAAATGACAAGAAACAATTAGATAAATCTGGGAAGAGATAAATCCAGTCTTCTTCTTTCAATGTTTACGGGGGTGCTGGGTTGTTACATTTTCAAAGTATCCAAATAAAGGAATGGGGATTGTGTAAAGGAATAAGAGAGTTTTTGAGACTAGAGTTTCTACAGACCTATGAAGTACCTTTTCGAAATTACTACAAATTGAGCTGTCAAAAAGGTGCCTGGTAAGATGTTCTAATACTTTGCTTTTGTGTTTTGTTTTGTCTTCCTTCTTCTTCTTCTTTTTTTTTTTTTTGCGAAGATGAGAATGACATGCAAGCTTAAGGCCTTTCGAACATATCAATTTTCTGGAGCTTCTCCAAATCTCTTTAAAAATATTGAGCTTGCATTGTATACTAGGACTAGAGACTGTTCTAAAATTTCAGAACAAGGCCGAGTCTACAAAATTGTCTTTTGGAATTCATGGGACCAGCTGACTAATACTCTACTACTTTCTGACGTAGGAAACCGAAACGCAAAGTAATTGTCATAATAAGGTATCTCAGTAAAAGGAAGGAATATTAATCATTAGAAACAATTTATTCCAATAGCGTTAGCCACATGATAATTTTGTCGAATGTAATAAGAGAAATCGTTAAATGATTGAGTGGCCTGGTGATTTTTGCTGAACCCTAGATTAACTATTAAATCCCATGATAACCAAGACAGAATTTCTCCTCACAATGTCCTTCCAATATCAAGTACACAAACGATGAGAAGAAAGAAAAATATCATTTAGGGGATTATTAGTTGATCCAATACCGAATTCTCAGAACTAACATCACAAGAACTGTATGGCAGACAGTAAGGAGAATTACTGATGAGGTCTTGGGAGCGGAGGAGGTTAAAGAGAAGGTATTTAAGCCTTCCACTGCTGTGGCCCGGGTTCCATTCCCGGACCTGGCGTCACATTTGGGATGAGTTTTTCGTTGAGCATCGACCTTTTCTTTGATGGTTTTTCTCTGGGTCCACCGGTTTTCCTCCCTCTAAAAAAACTCATGAACATTTCAAAGTTCCAATAAAGAAACAGTGGACAAGAAGACCCTCCTCCTGAAATTAATGTCTGCTGCTTAACAGCCATTATTGTTATAAATCACTTCATGTCAAGGATAAAAACAGTTGGTTTAGATAAATTTGGGTTTTGCAGACAAAGGAACATTGAAGCGTATATAACTCTGAAAATTTTTTTTATTTTATACGAGATTACTTGTCACTACCATTACCATAAGCTTAGAAGTGATGTAATTAGTAAGAGAATCAGATTCTTAAGCCTGGTAATTTCGAAGAAAGATTCAGGTATACAATTATCAAAAGATTACCAATAGATATAATAGTTTCAAACGATTAACCAAAGTTTATAGCTGCCTCTCTGGCAGAGAAGGGTATTATCAGGGAGGAAAGCGTCAAAAAAAGGCGGGGACGTCTTCATTGAGATAAACGGTCGAGTGGAAAGATTACAGCTAAAAAATGTTGTTCTTCTAATCGACTCGACTCAGCGGCAAAAGGTTAATGGAACATCCTGCTACACAACTTCGTTTTTTCGTTTTGTAGCTCCCTCGTAGAAGTAGCGACCGTAATAATGGTTTTGGTCTAATACCTGTAACTGAGTTTGATAACCGGCGAGAAAAACAATGAAATTGGCTTTGCATAATTTGTTTTTCAAGTTACTAGTTTCCATTCCTTACTCCTCTCTATTTCTCTAAGACCAGTGGGCTCAGCTTCCTGTCTTCGAGTAAGAGTATAGCGGAATTATCCTTACAACAACTAAATTTAAATAACCTACAGGTGGTAACTTCTTGATTTTGATATAATTTCTTGCGAAAATCAAATCTCTCCCAACTCTAGTTAGTCTTTATTGAGCTAGCTGAAATGAATGCAGTATTATTTTGATCAGAGGCTTAGAGGCACTTTGAAGCCATGAAACTTTAATAACATAATTGTTGACTTGATAGGCAACTTAGGAAAACCCAGACGACAAAAACATCTACTATAGGCTTTTTTGAGGCTACTACTACCGAAAGACCCCGGGGCTCGTTTTGATCATACCAAATGCATTTACTCACTTTTGTTACGAGATATCGTGCTGAAGAAACTAACTATAGCTTCTCCGTCGTGAAAGATGTCAGACCAAAATGACGTCAAATGTTCTATCGCCTTCCCGGCATCCCTTCCTAGCGTTAGTAAATAATGCTAACAAGTGATGCCGTAAAGGTGACAAAAATTTCCTTCCACATTATAAATCCCTTATAGGGACCACACTGTTTCTCAGTTTTTGTCACTGATTCTGCAAATTTTCACTAGTACCATTCTTCATATCACAATTGTTGATAATCATATTGTCCTTACCACTGATATAATCACGTGATTAGGCATACTTGACGCAGCGCCTATTGTATCATTTAGTCTCGTACCCAGACGTTCCACGACCAAGTGGTTGTAAGTACATTTCAGTTACAGTCTCACGGTAGGATCTGGGTACAAGATTAAGTATCACCAGTGGGAGGAAAAAAAAAACAAACCTTGAACAAATGAATTCAAAGCTAATGTAGAAATGTAAAGAGGAAAAAAGTCTAAACAGTAAATGGCACTTTTAAAACCATTTCATCTGCATAAGCTTCCGTTGGAAAAACACTTTCAAGGGAAATTAATGAAAGAAGGGTCGAGTATGCTTAGTTGGATAAAAAGTTGATTCAATCATCGTTGGTATGAAAGTCAAATGTAAGGAGATCAGAGAGCTTCAGTTGCATGTCACCAGCAGGCCGTAATCTATCTGGGTTTTCTTACCTTTCCCTGTATTAAATTGTTAAAGAATACTTGCACCATTTACATGTATTAAGCTTTCTATTTCACCGATCAAAATGCACGAAAAACCTAATCGAGACTTCCTCGCTCTTGTTTTTCCACGATCAGCGTTACGAGTTCTTACCTTGATTTCTTGTTAACTAATTTTGAATCTTTTTCTGTTCCGATAAGCCTCTGTGATTTGTTTGCTCTCTTAAACTCTAACGAAAAGATCCCGTCAGCATTTTCGATAAGAAGTGTTAATTTTTTCCATAACAAGAGTCCTGAGCATGCAACTATTGACAAAAATTGTGCAATTAATACGGAGACCATATCATTTTATAAGTGGCTGAAAACGGTTTCCCTCGGCTACCTTTTAGGCGTAAATGTCGATTTTTAGACAACTGTTGATAAAAAATCTTCTCTTTACACCCTAACGGGCAGATTAACAAAGAAAATATAAAACAGTATAAGAAATTTCTTACATCGAAGCAATTCATCAGATTATATACAAACTAATTTACGTTTTTAAGCGCCATGTGACCATATCCACCGTTGATAAAAGTTGCTATAAGTAACGCCGCCGTACCTGTAGAGTGGTTATATAGGAAACGGAACAGTGACCTCAAAAGTCTTTCCCGGACGGTTTTCCGGAGTTTTCAACCTGATAATTTATATCTACAACAAGAAGAAATAGATTGAATCGTTACAAATGAACATAACAAAGGAATACCTCTATCCGTTGTGAAAATCACCAGAAGCCGATTGATGTGTTCGAGTTAAGAGGTGAATAAAATCATTTCAGTCAACCAGCTTCAGCGGAAGCGGACCTGCTTTAAAGTTTATGGAAGATTTTGCCTTGCAGCCTTTGCTGCTGTTTCAACTAGCGATAAAAAGGGCGAAGAATAACTTCAACCCTTGAATTCTTTTCTGACAGATCCCCTTCGATTGCCGCTGTAAGCCCGACTTCCGAGACGCGAACCTGGAGTGTGTTTCAAATCTTGTCGGGAGCTGCGTTTGATAGCATCCTGCGTTAGCTCATCTCCTAGGCACGGCAGGAAATTATTTATGCGCGTTACCTCATAACGAAAACATGGCGCCCGGCTGGGATGAGGTCATGACAGCACGCTTGAAGGACCGTGCACTGCTGACAAGTGAACGGACGTTTTGATTGGCTTTTGTCGAGCTCAAACAATAATTCCCTTCAATAGGTTTGTATCGGACGCCGGATCCTGTCAAGCGGCCGTAAATTCGTCAATTTTCTGGCTCGTTGAAGGCTCTTCAGGCCTATGGAAAGTTCAAAACGATTGGGACCCCTCTTTGTTTTACGTGGCGCGTTTTCCAGTGCCCAAGGAAAAGTTTATTGCCTTGTTTGAGGAGGAAAAAGTTTCAAGTTCTGAAGAAGGATTCACTTTGATCGAAGACGTTCGAAGATCAGAACAGACAGGAATCCCAAGTTCTGGGACGAACAAAAGTGAGGAAATTATGTGTAACGTAGAATAGGTCTCGCATTTAATCAGAAAGTCACTCGATTGGTGGCTTTCAAATAAGATTTACTCTTTAATTGCGTTGCACCAGCAACATGATAAATCGATCTTTTTTTTACGTTATTGGTCCTCTCTATAACAACATAATTATTTTTAAAGTTTGTGCTGCATGAGCAGGAAACTAGTGATTATTGAAAGGATAACAATCTTCTTGTGAGGCTAAGAGGACCCATTTAAAGACAGGTTAAAAACGACGACTAAAGCTTAAGCTGATACTTGAACCACTTTTCACAAGAGAGTAAAGAGCCTCTTTTTTTCGCGTTATTTTGAAGTCTCAAAGGAGTATGTAGAAATTTTTGAATACTTCCAAAAATTAAATTGTTCTCGATTACCCTGTAAAGTACTCATGCCTTAATCTCTACATTTGCGTTTGATCCTTTTATTCAGTGCTTTGAGAGAATTTTAGCGTATAATTAAATGAGAACAGTAGCGTTATATTACTAATCTGACATCAGCAAGTTATAATTCGAATCAATCGAGAAACGAAACTATTACACAGTTTTCAAGTCCTGGAAAAATATCTCCGACCAGCTAATCAAATATTATCTGGAAGCGTCAAAATGTTTTGAAAACAGTTTACTTTTCTGAGATATTGTTTATTTTCATCAAAGCAATCTTTTTGGTGGTCTATTGTTAAAAGTTAATCAGATGAACGATCTTTAGTTACTGTGGTTTGAAGACACGCTGATAGAGCGGCTCTTCAGTGATTGATACTGGATACTGCTTTTGAATAGGATATGTAATCGAAAAACTGTCTAAAGTCGTGTCAGGTTTCACTTAAGGCGACAGATTCTTTGTTACCGTAGTAAAATTCGATCCTGTGAACTGTGTGTTATCCTAAGAAGTACCTGCTACAGGTACCAGATCTATTTACTTGTTTCGAAGTAAATATGTCCAAATATATAATAAGAAGGAGGGGGAGGGGGAGCAATATGGTATCCACCTGCCTCCTTTTCATCCATATTATCACGCTCTCTTTACTAGCTGAGTGCGTGGAATAGACTAGCAGGATATTGTAAGATCTCTGAGCAAGAGCAAAATTTAATTTGATTCTCTTAGTTAAACAACCGTGCCATTGACATATTACAAGCGAAAACCCCAAATAGTCCAACGATTGTAATGTCCCCTCCGCTTTGATTTTATTTGAATGGCAAACACTCCATTTTCCTCCACCGCGAAAAGCACTATTTCAATCAGGTATTTTAATCAGGTATTTTGTATTAAAGTTTTAAGCGGATATCATATTAACTTTACTTAACAAAATTGTTGAGACTTAAACTTTCTTTTTTAATCTGCAGATCTTAACGACAATGCAAAGGCAAACAGTATTGACACTCTTGTGGTTCTTGTTGACTGTAATGATCCAAGCAGCGCATGCTCGTCATAATATTACCGCTGCTTTAGTTGCTTTGGCGCCCGTCTCAGACACTGATATTGAAACTTCGCTGAATGTCGCTGACAAAGATGGGAACACCGGCTCAATTGCAAACGTCAATTGTATTTTGATATCAAGCGCCTTAATTTTACAGCTTCTTGCCTTTCTCTTTCGCTGAGTTTGGGAGAAAGAAAAACTGTTATTGAGCTGTTTTATTGCCTATCCTGAACAAACTCCCTACCAGAAAGATAGCTTAGGAAACTATTTGTTTAAAACACAGTTCCCATGTACATTGGACCTGTTTTTCTATAAAAATGCTGCAGGGTTTTGAAGTCACCCTTAAAGTCTGAAGTCTGTGGACACTGATTTCCCTTTTTCTTTATGGCGAACATCTCGGAGATCGACCACTGACAAAGGCGTCTAAACGCGCTTGCCTCACGTTGATTAAACAAGTTGGAATCTTTTATATGCACATGGTGCGTTAAACAGCACCTATAAAAATTTACTTAAAGTTGACTTCTAGAAAACCGTAAAATGAAAGTTGTAATACAAAGAAATGTTAGATCTTCGCGTGCGAGGTAACATATTAAGGCTTTGCAGAACATCCAGCTGACAAAAAAATATTTTTCAATTCGGATTGGGTTTCGCGAAAAGATGCCCTCGCTACTTCTTCGATCAAAAGTATTGATACATCAGAGAGAGGCCTACGGGAACATTGTGTGGGCTGAAAATTTTCCTGATCAGACGAGTCGTAGAATGAATAATATGCATCCTGACGTGATGACCTTAGACGTGACACTGCCTGAAAGGCTCGTTCATTGTTTTTGTTTCCAGCCATGTGACTGCCTACATCACATATACGACATATCAAACCCTGTAATGAGGTTGATATTGGAAAATGTGGTCAAATATTGGAATTAGCCTTAAAACTGACAAGACAGATGCTCCCGAATGAAGTATTGGTGTTTACAGGTTGCCCTCTCACAATGCAAAGAGAAGAAAAATTATCGGATTGACGGTTGGTCCGGAGCTGCAATCAAACGTTTACATTAAATCTCTTTTCGCCAGCTCTTCGCATGCCTGAAAAGGGTGAACTACTAATAGCGACACATGAACGATTTTGGTATTCTCTTCTTAAATTAGAACTCACGTCATTTGTATATAGTGCATCTAAATGTTAAAATTTTGATAAATAAAAATCTTCATGCCTTCCATCTTCTCAACATTGATGCATTCAATTCACTGATCTCCTTCTTCGTGTTTCCCTCAACACCCTTGTTTCCTGGGTTCGAATTCTGTACGAGCCGGAATTTTTCTTTTCAGGCCTTATTTTCACTATTACGTAAGTAGTTTTCATAACTGCGAGGATTGCTTCCTTATTCGATCCTTGTTTCCTGCTTCTTCCTTGTACTCCCCTTTAGTTACATGTTCCACTCACAAAATTCCATGGCTTTAATAATGCAAGGGTTATATTATACTGTGGAAATCAGTATAAACAACATGCATTTATCTCGTTCTCTCTATGATACATGAGTACTCATATCGAATCAGCTTGTTTATCCTGATTAAAGGTATTCATGGTAGACATGCGCTTTAAAGCAAAAAGTTAGAAGTTTTTGCGTCCCCCGGCTACAGACGATACGACGAGGTAGTAGCTTTCCCTCTCTCATCTCCCTCTGTGTTCTCGATTCCCTTTGTCGTTTCGAAGTTAATCATCTGCTCAGCTCATTGCTTATCCCAAGTGGCTGAGGTTAGTCTGAAACATGCATCAAAGGAAAAAGCTAGGAAAGTGTACGGCGGTGTTTAAAACACTGGTTTTTACAACGCACTCGGGGTCTGAAAACAGTGTGACCACACTTAGTACTCAAGGCCTCTATGGTTTTATTATTAATTCATATTTAACTAAGATGAAAAAAATGAAAAATACGCGAAGCTAACAAAATTGCAACGTCTACATATGCGTTGGTCTCTCAATAGTTTCCACTTATCCTCTTTGGAATCACTTCCGAATCGCATGCAAAACTGGTTTAAACTATTGGTACTTTTCATTTCGACCAATGAAGAGACGCTTGGATATCCTTTAATTGAATAATAAACTGCTTACTATTTCTCCTAAGAGGCCTCTCGAGCACATTTATCAAAAGGCCCTTCTCATAATTAGGAATTTGCTTTTCTAGAACTCAGTTTGACTCACTAATGCTTCACAAGCCATCGAAAGAACACTTTTACCGTGACACGAGAGTTATTGCAGAAAACGATCCGGAATTTTGAATTGCTCCTTTGTTTCTCTAATCCAGTGTTGAATAAGAAAAAAAACATAAATGTTCGGGAAAATTTCTACCGAGAATCAATGTCTCTCAGTTGGTCTACCATAAACTACATATTTCCGGGGAATGCGTTTGACGTATGTTTTAGGATACCTGAGTCCATCACAAACTTGTGGAAGCTAAAAAGTAAGACAGGATGGATAATGGTGCATTATCAATGTGCTGATCATGTTTTAACGAAGGTGCTAGTTTTCGCTTCAAATGATTTTCTCTTCTCAGTGGTAGGTTTCTGTCACTTGCAGCTTATGAGCCGTCTTCGTCATTTGTCAAGGTGGGGATGTTGTAGTATGAATTGGATTCATCGTGCTTGCTGAAGTCGATGTAAGGGGTGTCTTTTGAGATAATCAGTTCTAGTTTTTCAACTAGCTGGGAGAAACTGGGCCGAGTAGCTGGTTCTTCCGTCCAGCATTCGGTCATCAGTTCATATCTGTTGGAAAAAACAGAGGTTGAATGAGTTTTTATTTCAAAACATGCATCTTTCTCTCTCTACTCATTTTCAGATGGACATTAATTCAAAATGGCTGCTAAGTTTGATTGAAAGTTTATTGACTTGGAACGAACAAGGGAAGTTTCACGTAGTTCTGCAAATCCATGAATTTCGGAGTAAATTTGTCTGTGCAAAAAGTATTGACGCCAAAGTGTATGGATGCACTAAAAACTTAACCAAATTAAAAAAAAAACAATTATCAGAGTGTGGCTGCCCTAAAAGCTTCAACAAGCCTTTCCAGACTACTCAAAAGGTGAAGCTTTAGCTCTCAAGCTCTAACGGTATCAAAACTACTGCTCTAGCCGATGTGCAATTACTTGCAAATAACTTAAAACAACTAAGTTTTGCACGCGAGTAGATGTGAGGTTGATTCAGTTACTCACACTTCATCAGAGCACATGTCTGGCCTCTCCATCCTATAGCCAGTCTTCAAAAGTCTGCATACTTCTGAATTAGTCAGCGTTGGGTAAGGAACACCACCTGATTGCAAAGCAAAAGGTAGGTGTTAAACCATAAGTAGCCGTTACATTAAAATTTATGAAAAAATAGCTAACTGCTAAAAAATTTGTCATGAATAACAGTCTCAACTTTCTTGGCGACATACCCATGGTGACCATTTCCCAAAGAAGAATCCCATACGACCAACTTTGTGCAAAAAGAAATAAATAAAAGAAAAAATATTAGTGAAAATGAACCTGCTCGAACAACACAAAAGTTACATGATTGTCATAAGTCATCATAGCTCAAGAAATGGCTTTTGTTCCAAAAGTTGCAAGTACGAATTTAATGGGTAAATTAATTTTTCGTTCAAGAAAGGAAATGTATTTTCATGTCATGAACGTGGAACAAAACTGCGAACAAATATCTAGTTAGATAGCTACAGCCAGTTGCGAAATTGTTGAAACACTTCAGCAAAAAGTGCATTCACCGACTTCATCAGATGGCCAAGGAGAAATCAAGTGCAAAAAAACCGAAAGCTGCCCTCCTTTCCCGATTCAACTTTTTTCATCAACGTTTTGTACACGATACTGCTTAGCTGGCAATATTGCAAAGGGATCACATGATAACAATTATTTCTTGCCGTAGTAACATGTCTCAACTATTTTGAAACTAGTTGTAGTTTGTTATATACTTAGTTCATCAATTTTTTTTTGGAACGTATTCTCATTAAATGCCTCCATGACAACGGTACAAAATTTAAAGCCTGAGAAATGTCCCAAAGTATCGTGAAACTCTATACTCACACGTCGCTTTTGGTTGAAAAAATACTGTCAAAAATAGATTCGGGGGCCATCCACTTCACTGGTAGTTTTTTTGTTTTCTTCAGGCTGTACACGTCTTCGTACATCTGGCGCATTAATCCAAAGTCTGAAACCTTCACTCGTCCGTCTCGACCAACGAGGATATTACGAGCTGCAAGGTCACGATGAACGAAGTCTTTCTCTGCAAGGTGATTCTAGCAAAAAGTGTCAAAATAGCGGACTGATGAAAGAACGTTACACCTACCAATTTTATAGAAAACACCGATGCAGCCAGAGATAGTATTTCATTCTTTTCCGAAATAGGTTCTTGCGAACTCAAGGCAAGTTTTTCCTCCTTAAGTTCCGCTTGTTTGCATCCTTTTTGCATTTTTAAGTAAGTTTTTGTTGCTCTCTTAATTGATTGTGTATGCAAAATACACTGAGGATTTGAGACGTCTTCCTTGGTGGTAGTCTTCCTTTAGTAACTTAACGCATGCAACCAACTTCCTTGATCAAGAACTGCATTTAGTAATACATTACCATTCCTTGTGCTATTTGCCAAGCAAACGAAAAGAGTTTGTCAGCCGTGAAGCTGTTGCTGTCTGTCTCGTCATCATCGTCATAACCAAGATTTTCAGTCGAGTTGTCGGCAGCGTTGCAGTTTTTTTGGAGGTTCGGTGGTATCGTTTGCAGTTCTATATGCTCCTGGTGCTGAGAAGTCTGGAAATCTTGCTGCGTAAAGAGGTATATCATCGATGAAGTTAAGCTTTAACAACTGTCTACTTCATAGAAAATATGACACTGCACCGAGAAAATGCACAAAGACTCAATTCAGCCTCTCTAAGATTTGTAATGTTTCTAGAGAATATGGCTGTTTAATCAGAAATTTTCTCTTTTTTTTTCGGTAATTACTTTTCCTGTATTATTATCCCTCTGTGAAATCCTAGCTGTATTTTCAAATCAAAAGTACTCCTGGACACCCACGCTGGAACTCGTCGAATCGCATCAACGCTGAGATGCGAAAAGTGAAGAATGATATATGTCAAGCAGGAGAAATTTAACTTGAGGGAACTTACCTGTCCAGACTCGTTGGTCTGTTTTAGGGAAATGCAAATTTCTTTGTCTTCATATTCTTTCTCTTTTCCATCAGTAACTTGATTTTGGCTGACCTGTGCAATATAAGGTTACGGAGCAGTCATTGTTTATCGCCTGGAGGGGAGGGCTCGGACTGTTTTGATAGGAATCACATTGTTTTTAGGAGGAACGGATCTGTCGTTGCTAAGAGTATAAAGAAGGGACAATATGAAATTGACTACCCACGAGGGAGGGTCATCAGAATATTACGTGTCCCCCTCTATAAATAAAGTCCTTACTTACTAATACTTCAGAGCCTTTGGAGTGATCAGGTAAATTTCATTGTGTCACAACCAAAATTCCCCACCCCCACCACAGAGGCGATAAATCGTGACCTGCTCCTTTGCTTGGTAAATGGACCCCTTCATGTTCATTAGCGATGAGATCTTACCGAACCTCTAAGACTCTACAGGAGTTAGAATATCTTCATTGTTAAGTCTGACAAAGCGCTCTTTTTCCTGCGTTAAGCAATACAGTTTAAAACTAGAAATGAGTAAAAATTAATTAATTAATCTGATCCCCTTCTCAAAATTGGGAATTTTTGTACATGGATATACTGGACTGAAATAAACAAAGAATAGAACAAACCCAATCCACATCTGTCACCAACTCCGGGATTTCGCGCTAAGCCACAGAAAGAAAAAAGGTTTCTCATCGCTACACAAGATTCGATGATTATAATTAATTTAATTCTTAAGAAAAATTAAACTTTACAGCAGGTTAATTGAGTGATGAGAGTGAAGTGAAATCTCTTACCAATCGCCGATTTCTGCGTAACCATTGCAAAAGGTCACCATACGGAACATACTCTATCACCAGAAACTTGGTGTCTTGCAGTGTGCAGCATCCAACCAAGGATACGATGCTGGGGTGTGATCCCAACAGTTTCATTTGCGATATCTCATGCAAAAAAGCTTGTTTCTGCTCTTCGCGAGGATTATCTGTAACAGACATAGAATTTGAGATTGGAGAATAATGCAAGTTTTATCCCTGGGTGTGCCTAATTTTTCACCTCAAATGTTTTAGCACGTGTCTTCCACAGCTTTGTGAAAGCAACGACATACTTTGAACTTCATGTCGCTGTTATTTTTTGCCATGGCTTGTTGGTGCAGTCAATCCCACACAAAAATAACGACTTGGACCTTTTCTTTTTCTTGATCTTACAAGTGCAAGGGACATTCTCACTTATGAGCCTTTTAGATGGCATAAACATTCGCTAAGGAATTTTATTAAGCTCAGTTCGCAAAGAATTCAAGCACGGCAAGTGAATGTCTGGGTTCCATTTCTTGTTGGGAGAGGGAGACTCTTTGAAAATACAAGCTTACTTCTCAGTACTGATGAATATTTCATGTTATTCTATTGCGGTATTTCGTAATAAAGATTTGTAAAAGCTATTGTCGTGACAGGGTCTCCCTTTTAGTTAGATTAAAAAAAATTATTCATCGGTGGCAATTAACGAACAATCTGAATTTTCTGAGGTGTTTCATTAAACGATAACCTGATTAATATCCATCGTCTAAAATTTGAACGTTTTAGTGGAGGTTAAAACAGCATCTCGTGAAGTGGAGACAGTTTGAAAATCATATGTTTTGTTAGGAGCCCATTACGTAATGGGCTTCTGATTTTGCTCAAAATTGCATCATATTTTATTGAAAAGACAGATTCAGTGCATAACAAACCTGGTAAAACCTTTACAGCGACCTCCTGTGAAGCCTCTTTTGGCGTGGATTTCTTACCAGTCAGAAACATATCTATCCCAGCTCTTTTTCTCAGAGTTCCTTTGTAAACAATACCAAAAGCTCCTCGCCCTAACTCTTCTTTGTATTCTATCTGTTCAGGAAGAATCTCCCACTTGTCTAGGATGACGATTTTGCGAAGAGAAAGAGCGGACCTGTCGAATTGAGAAGATATGGGTAAAAAGGTAACGACTGACAATAATGAGCTCTTGGGCCAAAATGTTAGTCGCTGTAGCGTGGCGTTACTAACATTGTTAACCCAACTTTACACAAGCACCAAAGTTCCCCAACACGAGTTAGTTTTTCTTTGGGATCTTGCTTTCTGAAGCAGGAAATAAATATTAGGACACCGATAACCAATTCTGAAATCGAGGCCGAGTTGAAATCCACTGCGGTTTTGTGCGCACAACAGGATAGCTGTGTGAAGAAAGACAGTTTGAGGAACGCATCATCACGATGCACCACTAACAACTGTTGGAAACGAACCAACCACAGCGGGGCGGTATGGCGCCTTATAGGATGGCATGCGCAAAAGCTGAAGAACTAAAGAAGACGAAACACTGCGAACCACATGGGAAGTGACTTCATCGTGAGACAAGCTATAGTTCGATATAAATATATGTTAATACAATGAAATTTCCTAACCGACTTTTTTTTTGCTATGTCTCATTTTTGTCTAAAGTTAACATTTATTTTCGTGGGGCCAGTTAAGAAAAGTAAGTTACCTTCTATTTATCTTTCGCTGTTTGACTTTGTAATACCAGCAGCTGAGAGCCAAACACAGCAACAGAAACAAACTAGAGGCAACACCAGCAACGATGTATATGATCATGATGGAACCTGAAGAGGTTGCATTCACTTGAGACGGATCAGCTTTTATTTCTGACATTTTTGTGGACTGAACACTTATGGTTGTCTGTATTGATTCTGTCTTATGAACTATCGATTCTGTCTTGGGGGCTATCGTGGTCTCTAAGAAAAGGTCGAGAAACTGATCAGCGAGCAATCAACCACCTGGTACGTTTTTACACAGTTTGTCACTGTGTAGCATCTTTGTATGATTGTTCATTGCTCTCGTTTGCTTGTTTGTTTGTTTTTTTCAACTTTAAAAAGCTAGAGGCTTTTTGACTTGAAATGTCGCCGATATTCGCATCTTCTTAAGCATTGATTACTTACTTAAAATTGGTAAAGTTGAGAAATGAATCCAAAATCCTCGTCTTTGGATATCACTGTCTGTGTGGAATATCATCAGAGCATAGCTTCCATTTACAATAACTTTCTCTCCACTTTTTTGCCCGCAGTACACACCGAATACCCGGTTCGCTTCATTGGTAATAGTTAGGAAGTCCCGGCTAAAAAAACAGATCATAAACACTTTAAGCTGTAACTATGGTGAAGTGTCGAGTTTTTGCTCATTCAAGTAACTTTTGACAAGAACCAAATGCCAGTCAGTTGCGCGCTTCGCAAAGCGAACCGATTTGATTCAAACCGACTTTCGTAATCTAATATTCGGACTTGAAATGAAGTTTTTAAAACTTTCAAGAGTGCTTTGTCCATTCAATATCATCTTAAATGTTCACATATCTTGGAAACTGGCTTTAGTTTCATGATACAGAAACAGAAAGTACACAAGATAGTGAGTCTTTACAGAAATCAATCCGATAGTACGACCTCTGTCCTGTGGAACTCATCTTCAGATATAGAACATGAATAAAAAAAAACAAACAACAACAACAAAACACGGACAAAAACATAACCAAAGCATAAAAAAGCAAGGCATAAGAGAAATGAGCGCTAAAGGCCAGGATGAGAAGAAATGAAATGTATGGTATTTAGAAACACTCTACCCTTACATCGCTACTTACGCGCACGACTGACTATCCTCAAGCTCAAACTGGCTAAGATAAATTTCCATCTCCTGGCCCTGTGGGATTGGAACTGCTGACGTACAGTCCATGTTGGCTGGGTAATTTTCAGGATAACCAGGACTTTTCAGCGTATCATTTACAACTGGTCCACAACCTGATCCGATAAAAGAAGTGCAACATTTTAGGGAATACCTTGGAAGGCTAAGATAAGACAATTTTGACTATCTGAAAAATTGCAAGTAGTTCGTTAAATATTACTACATAGACAACTCAAATTTTATCGAGAACATATAGATGCCAAACCCTGGAATAAATTAAATTTGGGTTAAAGAGACCTTTGAAAAGGTTTTTCATGTTCTTAAGTGACATTGAATTCTTCAATCCATAATTGTGGTCTATAGATAGATAATTTTTTGTCTCAAAGATTGTTTTCATTTACCTTTCACTAAGAACTCAGCTGTGTCAGTGCCATATTTGCTTGTTGCAATGCAGCTGTAGTTGCCATCCTCATATAATCTGATAATGGCTGAGTCTGTGGTGTTTATCAGTACTGCAGAAGTCTGCTTATGAACTATCGATGTGTAAATGGGCGGGGTTCCAATTGCTAAACACGAGACCTGGTTGTTTGGAGTTATGGGTACTTTAAGATCTAATGACGTTATCCTTGGTTGAACTAGAATGCAGCAGAATTAGTAACTGTAATTAGCGAGCTTGATAGTGTAAGCTAATACGATGTTTAATCGATCGCTCATCACAAGACACGTCCGTGCTGATACGTGGTGAAGTGGTAAAGAATGTGAATGAATGAGTAGCGTATGAAAACCCTTAAGAACCTCACACGAACATGTACGAAAGGAAGCTCGAGCTCATCAAATTTTTAAAAGCAGTAAGATTAGATCACGACCTTTTCAATTAACACTCAACTATTTTCTCGGATCTTGATAGCATTTATCAATATAGCATGTTTTCAAATTTGCTGAAAAAGACTAATTTAAGTTCCGGAGAGTATATCTTTTTTAGCTCAGCTTTCAAGTAGTATCTTTACAAATTCACTATTCACTGCATTTTGGGGATTCTGAACGGTAGCCTGACCGTTTAGGAATGGGCTTGAAATTCGAATTTGGTCACCGCCACTTTGTAAATACGTCAGTAACCTGGCCTCATATCCATCACTCGACGTGATCCATTGACTGAGATAAAATCATGTTGAGCAAACTTTACTTTATTAGTAAATAACGATTCTCTACGTACCAAATGAAACAGCAGTAAATGTTATATGGAATCCTCTCTCTTCTCGATTGTAGTCTGAGTGGAAGGTTATCGAGAAGAACTCTCCAGTCAACAATAATATCTTGCCTGTTTGTCCGCCACAGAACTTTCCAACAACCGTTCCTTCGTCATCAATAATCTTTACGTAATCAAAGCTGTTTAATTTAGGAAAGACATTTAATAAAAAATGTGCACAACAGCGAAAATTGCTTTTTTGCTGAAAATTTTACCCTTTTGTTGTTTAGGCACAAAGGCATGACACATTTTCTATATAAAATCAATGATCTCTCTGTAATATCCCAGGCCAGTGGTATCTCACTGACAAAGGTATATCCGCACGAAAGCGACTTATATTGTAATTTGAGTTCTTTTTTGTTGTTGTCTTTTTATCGTGCAACGATATTTATATTCGCTTCTGGTTAAAATGACTAACACTAAAGAGTTAAGAGTACCCCCATCCTCCTCCCCTCATCTCATCCCCAGGCCACAATGATAAGGTTTAGAAAAAAGTCCAAAGTTATTTCAACGTATTAGATAGGTTTGTAACAAGACGGCGTCAGTTTTTACAGCTCAAATAGAATTATTGACCTTTCAATTTTTGGCTACGTATGGGTAAAAATTTTATTTGCGACACTTAGGGCAGTTATTTAGCTTCTAGCCTATTTTGCTTTTTGTCATAGTTACCTGCATTCTGAACTTTCCTCTAATTTAAAATCGATGAAGGTAATGTTCATCGTCATCTCTTGTGGAATATAAACCAGATAATCACAGTCTGTATTATTTGGGTAATATTTGGGATATCCAGGGCTTTTCAGTCTATTTTTCACTACTGAACCACATTCTGCAAAAAGATAAGAAGTAAGCTGGCAAAAAGACATGATACAGAATGCCTCCTAGTATTAACATTGTGGGATATACTGGTCAAGTATTGCAAATTGAGTTTAGACT